AGAGCTAATCGAGTTATCACTATTTAACCGATATTTGTTGCTTTAAAAACTTTCAAAAACCATATTTGTTTTATTCATTGTGAAATATATCATGAAATATATCATTTTTTTTGATATCATTTATATAGAAGAAGAAAATAAACAATAAGGCAATTTATTGGTACAGTAGAAAAAACCTCATTCTCGTAGCCAATCTAACCGTTAATCATTGGTGTTTATTGAAGGCCAAGGAATCTGAAATATATGAAATTCGAAATTTTATCCTTGAAAACAAAATGTTAAAATAAAATGAAAGCAAATTACAAGTAGCAATATCTTTAAACTAGTGGATAAATCGCATATAAAATACGATATCGTAATTTCGTAATATCGTAATCCGCAATTTTTACCTCTTTACCTGCAAGAGAATAGTTCGGGTTCGAACACGAGTGCAGCATATTACAATAGCGCCGAACAGCTAAAACAAAATAGATAGAGAGTAGGTTGTCGCAATTAAGATTTGGAGCATCAATGTTGCGGTATTAGGCTGCTTCGAATGGAGTGAAAATCCTAATGATACTGGTGACCCACCTATATTTCTATCATCAAGTGTACCCTAGCTATAAGCCAGCAGAACGAGTTTAGCCGGCAATGATAAGCGCTTCTAAGAAAACGATTCTTTTAACGATTTTATGTGCTATTTTTACTAATGTAAATTATAAAATTAGCGATTTTCAGAGTTTCGATGCTTGAATTGTTGTAATATTCCGATGTATTTTATTTTTACCATATGCATATTGATATTAATGAAGAATTCAACAGGAAAAAAGGATAAATACGATGATTTGCATAGTACAAAACCAACGAAAAGTCGAGAATTGAAAAAAATAGAGGTAAAATTTGAATTTTTATTTTTTTAATTTTCGATTATTTTTTAAAAAAATAAAAAACAAAATCCTAAAAAAACAGCTAATATCGAAGAGAATCAATGAAACTAATCACAACAAAAATCTAAAATTTCTAGTTTTTTACAATTTTTTCTTAAAATCCTTTTTTTAATAAAAAATTATTATTAATAAAATTTTTTTATTAAATAATCTAACGAGAGAAAAATTTTTAAGCAAAAAACTTATTTTGCCAATAATTATTCCCAAATGTATAATTATTTACTGGAATTCATTCCTTTCGGGTTTCATTTTCGCTAATATAAACTATAAATTATAAATTAAATTAGTCGTTGTTATTTAACTTCTAAAAAAAATATTTCTGTCGATATTTTTTGTCGAAATTTATGCAAAATAATTATTATTTAAATTATTCGATATTTTTATTAAAGAAATACGAAATGAAATCGCTAACTTATCGCCAATTTTAGATTTTTAGTTTTTTCCAACAATTTCATTTCATTTAATTTTAGTGTTTTCGGAATTAATACAGTATTTTCAAATTAATAAATTAATATTGAAAGTAAAGGAAATTAAAATTAAATTAGATTACTTTTCTAATAGGAAACATTAAAAAAAAAAGTGGAAATGAAAAATTTCGAAATTCTAATTAAAATTAATTAAAAACTTATTAAAGACAATAAAAAATCGAAAATTAATTGATTACCTTAGATTGATAAGAGGAAATTGGAATGATAAAAAATTTATTTGTTTATTATGTTTAAATGCAATAATAATAGCAATAACAATAATAAAATAAAATAACAAAATGTTAAGTAATAAAAAATAATTAATAATATTATTATAACATTAAAATAATAATAGTACTAATAGAAAAAATAGTTAATAATAATTAATAGTTAATAGATAATAATAATAAAATAGTTAATAATAATGATAGAATTTTTTTTAAAGAATGCTTATCATTCTTGGTTAACAATGCTCCCTTAGCTTGTCGGAGTAAATAAAATGCCAGTTGAGAGTTTTGAAATTTTCCTTAAAATATACTAAAAAAGCTAAATTAATAGTTGAATTCATTTATATTACTGGAATTAAGCAAAGTTATAGGTTTATATCGAAAATTTTTTCTTGTATTTCGCTTAATTATTCCTTAAATCCTTTATTTTTCTCAAAAAAAACCTTTTATTTTTTTAAAATCAACTATATGGAATTAGTAAATTAAGGTTTTTTAAATGAAACTGAAATTACAAATTTAAACATTTAAATTTTAAAAGTGCGAAATAATTTTGCTGGAGGTTAGTTTTGCAGTCTACAGTCTACTCGGCTTTATTTGTGGAGAAATAAATTTTCCCTTTTTCTTTGATGCGATGTGATTTAAGGCTGCTATGGTACTGGGAATCCATATGAACTTCCATACCCAAGTCACTTTCCAACCTAATAGTCAGTGGAACCAAGTAAATCAAAAATGATGACAATGATATGAATTTATAACGGTCATTTTTATTTATTTCTTTGTTAAAACTGATAAAACTACAAAAATTGAATATTTCTGAAAACAACCAATGAAAATAGGCCAAAAATAATTTTACTTACAATTTACAGTGAACTAAAAAAATTTATAAAGTTTTTTATTATGAAGCATATGTGAGGAAATAAAAATATTTTAAGAATGTAATAAATAAATAAAAAATTTTGGAAAAAAATGAAATTGACTCATCAAATTTTTTGAGCAGATAAATTTGTGGGAAAACTCGCATTAAAATTTTTGACAATGAAAATGCCAATAAAATTTTTCAATAAAATCCGAATTTATTTTGATCATCCATTCCACATATAATAACAAAGATATGAATACAATATTTATTATTAAATTTATTTTTATTAAATATATTTTTTTCTCAATACAATAGCAGATGTATCTAAGTGGTTCTAACCAACTATAAATGCAGTTTCAACATATTATATGGCCTCTTTTAATTTCTCAATAATTGTTGAAAAACCTAATGAAAACTTTTGTTTATATGGATTATAGTTTTAAATGCAATGCAGATATTGTGATAATAAAAAAAAAATTAGAAATCAGATGATTGATAATTGATGATTGATAAAGCAATACCAAGCGACAAGAACGTCAGAAAAAAGGAATATGAGAACTTAGAGAAATACCAAAGGTTGAAAGAGGAGGTAGGGCAAATGTGGAAATGTGGAAAGTGAAGTAAAGGCCAAAGTGATTCCAGTGACAACTGGAGTACCTGGAACTGTGGCCCCTAAACTAGGAAAATAGTTTCATTCAGATGGCAGATTCCAAGAACATCAGAGATCTTTGTCCAGAAGTGCGCATTGCTAGGAATAGCTTAAGACCTAATATCTACCTTTGACCACTCTTGTCTGAAGTATATTTTATGGGTCAATGAGCAGATAAAATATCACATGACGCATCCACCTTCAAACACCTAATAATATTATCACAGAGCGTCACCTTCAGTGATTAGAGTGGTTCTCCGTCGTCCACCACAAAAGTTGTCGCATATTTCGTTACTTCCTGAACCATGTGATGGATAGCGTCAAAAACGAGGTGGGCCAATCAAGACCTGGACTGATACGGTGAGAAAAGATTTTGAACGTATAGGTGGACCAGCAATATATATGGATTTAGACGATGGAAAAAGAAATGGCTTTTATTACTGTCGACGATGGCACCGCGTAGCTTGAAAGCGTCTTACCCTTGTAGCCGTTGGAGCCGGCCTAACCAGTAATGGTGAGAGCTTTTAGAAGAAGTAAAAAAAATGGTTTTGGTTTTCTTGAAGGAGCTAGCGACGATCATTAGACTTCATTTTGGGAATCATTTTATAACAGATTAACTAAAATTTGTCCACTATGAGTGCATTTATAGGCAAATCATTTATGCTAACTTAATCGTAAAGCGAATTGATAATTCAAAATATGCTATTCTTCTTCTAATAGCTCTCACCATTACTGCTTAGGCTGGTTCCACTGGTTACAAAGATAAAACCAATCTCCAATCTGTTCAGTCCGAAGCCATCGATGTCATCGTAGCAATGGAAACCATTCGTATTTCCATCGTCCAAGTCCATTTATCGCTGTTCCTTCTATACGTTCAAAATCTTTTCTAATTGCATCAGTACAGGTCTTATAATAAGAAATATAAATATCATATATTGTGTATAAAAGAGATACGAAAATATTTACCAATGAATTCAATGGGAAATTATTGAAACTATCGTAAATTTACAGCAAAATAATCCATCTTCACAATCAAATCATGTTGCGAATTTTCCACAAATTCTTTCCGATCTCATAACAAGTAAGTAATTTGGTTTCTTTTTTTTAAAGATTCCTCACCATTAAACTCGCTCCGCTGGTCTACGACACTAGATAAATATGCTAGGGAGTCTCTTGAGGATAGAAATACACGTGAGTCGCCACTATCACTCGTGTTTTTGGACAGATTTACCTCTTGCGAGGAGTAGAAAGTAGGAAGTACCTAGCATCGGCGCTCCAAGCAACCCTCTGAACTATTCTATGGAACTCAATTTGGACAAATTTATTTGCTTGAAAAATTAAAGATTTTAAGAAATTTAAGAAATTTTATTGTTTTTGAGCTCACACAAATTGAGATATTCTATGTAATCTATGTAATTTACAAAAAATAAAAATTTTTAAGTAAAAATAAGTTTTTAAGTTTCAAATTCTTAATTTTTTTAAATTCTCGAGCAAAACGCGTTCTTCACCTTATATTGATTTTTAATAATAATTCTTAATTTTTAAAAAAAATTTAAAGAATTGATAATAAGATGAGATTCTTAATAGTAAGTGGTCATTGGATTTCACTTTTAATGATTGGCTTACTTTTACCAGAAAGCCGAAAACGAACTTTTGTTCTCAATCTAAGAAAAATTTCACCTCTAAATGATTGCTTTCGTAGGGACGTTGTTATCAATTCTTATTTACGATTAATAAGAGTGATAAGTGATAAATAATAATGATAAACTTGCTTGCATATTTATGGTTAATTTATTGCATAATAACAGTGAACTACCACAACTATTTTTTGCTTTTTGAGATGAAGACGAGTCAAGCGCAACATTTCACTTGATGGAAAATGCCTTTAAAGATAATTCGTTAAGTTGCACGTCTGATAAAGAGATTATCGAAAGCCTCCTGGAGAAATATAAATCACACAAAACACCGTCTGAAACTGGAGTCACCGTATGGATTGAAGTCAGCTTTGCTATATTTTCCTATTGCTTTTATTTTATAAAATGTTTATAATATTATGTTTAAATTATTATTTATTAAAATTATTTAAATATTTAAAATATTTATTTCCTATCTGGCGAGTAAATGGCTTGCGTTCGCCACTTCCGACTTACCTAACTCCACTGGCTATTAGCACAGTTGTTGTAAACACCAGGAGTTATTATTTTATTATTATTCTATCTAACAATAGAACCAGCAGTGGTACCATTCGATTTTTCTTTCCGCTTCTGATGAAATCTTGCATCCCATTATCATTATTCCATCATTTATTCCATTATGATCATTATTCCATTTATTTTTTTATTAAACATAGTTATTTATCATTTATTTAAAGAGTACTGCTTTATCATCAATTAGCGTATAACGATATTTTTATTTATAAATATTTAATTTAATAATCCAATATTTTACATAATCGCATTTATTATCAGCTATTGTTATAATAAATATTTATCAGGTATGGGTGCAAGAAGTTAATTCTGTCAACGAAATTACATCAGATTTTGATATGGATATTTATGTTACTGAATTATGGATAGATAAAGCTTTGCGATACGAAGATATGAATCCTTGTAAATATAACTTATCGCTTAACAATGAGGTAAAATTTGCTATTTGTTTAAGTTTTTATCTATTATTCTTTTCTTTTCGAATATATTTTGGCACAGATTTATTTATACAATTGAAATATTAGATATTAATTTTTATAGATTTTTTGTACAAAGACTTTTCTAGGTGCTTGAGCAAATTTGGAAGCCGAATACAGTTTTTATTAATAGTAAATCAGCTACGATTCATAAATCTCCATTTTCAAATGTTTTCCTTATGATTTATCCGAATGGTACGGTTTGGGTAAATTATAGGTAAGAAATACTATTAAAAAATATTTATTATTTATTTGTGATCATCTAGAAAATTCTTCTAATTCACAGCTCTCACCATTATTGGTTAGGCTAGCTGCACTGGCCAATGGTAAGATCATCATCGACAGTAATAGAAACCATTCCTTTTTTCATCGTCAAAGTTCATATATCGTTGGTTCACCTATATATTCAAAAATCTTGATTATATCAGCCGAGATCCTGATTGGCCCATCTCACTTGTGACACGCACTGTCTTTTAAGGTTTAGCAAGTAATCTAAAAAATTATCACAAATTATTTGAAAAAAAAAGCTCTTATCTCTTATTGATTTGAGATTATTCGGAAATAATCTCAGAAATCAACAAAAGCACATTTTCAAAAAATTCATATCCATAATTCATCGCTTACAGGGTTAAGGTTAAAGGTCCTTGCATTATGGATTTCACTTCATTTCCAATGGATGAACAAATGTGTCTGCTAACCCTCGAAAGCTTTAATTATAATATACAGGTGAATTTTCATCCTTTTAAATCAAATCAAATAACTAATAATTCATTGAAATTTATTGATAATTAATTGATAATTGATTTTAGGAAGTCGATATGAGATGGACAAATGCAACAGCACCATTAACTCTTATGAAACAGATTGTCTTGCCAGATTTTATTTTAGCGAAATATGACACGATTCTTAAACAAGAGGTAATAGTTCAATTCATTTGCTTCATTAAAAAATTTATTATTAAACAAAAATAAAAAACTTATTTTATGTACTAATATTTATTTTAAATATAATATGACAAAATATAAATGCAAATACAAAATATTATATTATAATATAAATAAATATAATATATATATTATAATATATATATAATAATAATATATATAATATTATATAATATAATATTATATATAAATACAAATATAAACATAAATATAAAAATATAATATAATATAATGATATGGCAATGAAATTTTCGTCGCTTTTTTACTAAAATCCTCAAAGGATTTCTGGAAATTCAAAAATGGAAAAAAATTTCCTCTCGAATAATTAGTTCAATGATTGAACAAGTAAAAAGCGTAAGTTAAAAAAAGGAAACTTGGTTAAATCGGAAAAACCCACGTTTATTTTCATATCCAAATAAATCTCGGGCGAAAGAATATCAATATAGTGATATTAGTTGATATCAGTTGAGTTAGCAAAAATAGAAATGCAGAATATTATTAGAAGAAAAAGAAGAACCGCATTAAAAGATGAAAATCGAGAAATTTTTTTTAGATTTATCCAGCCGGAATTTGGAATGAATTAACGATGACTTTTACGTTTTCTCGTCGTTATGGCTGGTATATTTTCCAGGCTTATATTCCAACCTATTTAACCATTTTCATAAGGTAATTTCTACCCAAATTTATCACTTTTCAAAAATTTTTAAATAAAAATATTTCTATTTTAAGCATTATTTCCTATAAAAAGTAGCACTCATAGACTATAATTTTTTCTTTTCCTATTCGCGAAAAATTATTTCTTCTTCTAATAGCGTGTACCATCATTGGTTGGGTTGGCCCTATTTTTTACGAGCATGAGACGAGTTTCCAAGTCCATGGATCCTACACCACATCTGAAAATGACTGATGCAATCCTTTTTCCTCAGTGGTCCATCTATTCCTTTCTGTATGAGTCCAGGCCTTGATTGCAATAAAAATTTCACGAATTTCTGAATTTTTTTAAAATGTTTTTTTAAAATGTTTTTTTGGAAAATGAAGAAAAAATGGATTAAGAATATCAAATTAAAAGATCTTATCACTTTTCAGTTTCATGAAAAATTCAGATTTGATTAATTTTTTTACAATAAAACTGATAAAAACTGATAATAATAAATAGTTCTCTAAAAATTTTAATAAAAATCGGTTGCTTAAGAAATTTTTCATTAAAAAGAAATTTATTGCAGCTGGATTAGCTTTTGTTTGGGGTCAAAAATGATTCCAGCTCGAACTATGCTTGGTGTAAATTCGTTATTAGCATTAACCTTTCAATTTGGTAATATAATGAGGAATCTGCCTCGTGTCAGCTATATTAAAGCATTAGGTTTGAATTTTTATACTCAAAAATAATGAAAAATAAACTAACATACTAACTTCCTCTATAGTTATGGACAATTCGCCTATATTTCTGTCGCCTTGTTCACATTTCATATTTATCTAAGACAAAAGTTGTTTTTAAACAATAATGGTAAGAGCCCTTTAAAAAAAAAAAAACTCGTATATTTCAAGATGAAACAAATTTCAATAATATTATTATATTATTAATATTATTTTTTACAATATTGTTCATTTTACTTGATACTTCATACCTGATAATAAATAATCCACGGATTGGAACTATGTAAGGATAGCGATCTAAACTACGATTTAGCATTACTTCAATATTTATTTTGCAGATGTATGGATGCTATCGTGCCTTTCTTTCGTTTTTTGCTCACTTCTCGAATTAGCTATAATCGGTTGTTTAGGTGCCAAAACCGAGGTATATATTAGAATTTTTTTAAAAAATACAAAAAAAATAATACCATCTGAAAAACGAGCTGAAATTTAATTAATATTGAATTTCACTTTTTTCATATCACAATGAAGTAGAAAAATTTAGGCTGATTTAGCTAAGGCAGCTATTAATATGAAAATACATGAAAAAAGATCGCCAACATTATCGATGCGACAATCGCCAAGGCTTTGTAGGCATGATCTACAAGAATCGCCACACGGCCTCAGGTGTCCCTCAGGTTTATGAAAATATAAAAGCTCTATTCTTGCTCTATTCTTTAATATGATGAGAGGAAAATTTTAATAAGGAAAAGAAAAGTGAATCTCCAACACCATAATCATTCGCCTATTCTATCCCATTCGAATGGCCAAATAATCAAAAATTAATTTCAGCTCAAATTCACAAACTGATCCTCGAATGAGAAGGAAAACATTTTTAGTTTCACCAAGTAAGAGGTCGCTGAGTGCAAGTAACAACAGATCAAGGTTTACTATCATTTACTTTAAATCCGAAACTAATGTTGAAAGTTAGGTCGATGAGGACGATTTGTTTTGAGCTAATTCTTAACCCTCTCCAAACAATACTCATCATTTCTGGTTTGATTGGCTCCACTGATTATTACGTTGGAAGTAATTCGCCAGGAAGTTTAGGATTAGTTGGGAGTGGGAAAGGTGGGAAAAATAGAAAATTTCTTAATAAAAATAGAAATTCATATATACACGAATTTTAAAAAAGCGCCTTGGAAATTCCGATTTTAAACAACCTAAGAAATTCGTTTTATTAAATTAACCCAGCATTAAATAATTATTAATTATTATAAATTTAAGCATGTGCAATCAACAGGAACATATTTACTTGCTCGATAGCGATAATGGAAATTTAAATGCTACATCTCATAAAAATAATATATACAAAATTCATGCGAGATTTAGGCAGTGTAAACAACCGTGGACAACTGATAAGATCGACAAGCTTTCAATTTTACTTTTTCCTACTCTTTTCACATTGTTCAATATTGCTTATTGGGGTTACTATTTATCATGAATATTACTATTTGCCATATTTATAAAAAATTAAATATAAATTCAAAATATAAGCTGAATAAAGAACAATTAAATTCACTAACCAGTCGATACCATGTTTTTTTCTGAACAGTTGGTGTTTACTCTTGGATTATAAATATTTTGCATACCTGCAAAATATTTAATATATTATATTATGAACATTTTATTTAAGCATAACCTAACAAATCATACTCCAAATTTTCGCAAATTTCAAATTTTTCGATTCCGATTTACGAGTAAATAATGTTACAATATATAATCTCAAATCTATAATCTCAAATTAATGTTTAATTATATATTAGAAATGATGAAAAGTAATTTTTTACAGGAGAAAGATTTCTATTTTGAAAAACCTATATAAATATATTTTATTAAAAATATTTCAAACCATAAAAAATACAATAAAATATATAAAATAGAAATAAAAATGAAATCAAAAGGTTTTTATTTACAAATTTAATGTACAAAATCTACAAAAAACCGCATCAAACTAGATTATTCAGTTATTTGGCGACAATAAAATATAAATTTCACCTTTATGGTATAAATAAAATGCTAAATGCTAAAAAATAAAACTTTATAATGAAAATTTGAATAATCTAGTTGCAAAATTGTTTTTACGATAAAAAAAAATTAAAACAATAAACCTCCATTATAAAAAAAGAATTATTTAATGGAATGACTGCACTTTAAACCGAAAGTATAATAAAACAACCAAGCCAAATGACTAACAAAAGTGACAAAACTAAACAAACAAATTTTAAAACTAAGGAGATTTTGTGAATTTTAAGAATTAAGAATTAACGCGATTAAAAACTTTAGTTAAATTAAACAAAGAAAGTTCTAAAGAAAGTTTTATTTTTCGACAAAAATGTGGAATTTCATTCCATACTATAGTTAATATCACACTAAAAATGAATAAAAAATGAAAAAAGAAAACGAAAAAATAAAAAGCCAAATAAGACTAATCAAAAAAAGATAAACAACTTTTAGCAATAATAAGTATAATATAAATTAAATTTTAATAGAAGAAATAAATATTTATTAAAAAATTTATTAAAACATAATAAATAAATATGATATTAAATATAATTATAAAACAATAAATAAAAATCATTTCAAAAATTTTGTTAAAATATTTCAAAATATTTTAAACAAAAAACCTCAACATTCATGATCAAATTTCAGAAATACATAGAAAGCAAAAAATTGCACCGGAAAATTTCTAATTTTTCAAAACTTCACAATCCACCACATGAACGATCATAAATGACTTTGAAAAAAAATTAGGAAGTAGTACATAGAAAGATACATAGAAAGACATATCTTTTGCAAATAAAATTTTGAAATATTTTAACAAGAAAACCTTGAAATACTTCCATCGTCAGCAACAGCAATCAGATGCTCACCATTAGGACTTACAGCCAATTGCCGTATTGTACACCAAACATCCTTTGGTCGTATCACCACGGTACTTCAATGGATTGGAAATGAAATGGATTTTATTTTTAAATAAAAATAATATAGTAACTAGAAAATGAGGGTATATTTATTCAGCTAAAGTATAAAACGATACGATGGAAATGAAGAATTAATATTAAAAGTCTATTCATATTCCATATAAAAAATAAAAAATGGCATAGAACCGCATTTTTGTAGATAATTATTGACGAGGAAAACTAAATAGTTATTTAAAAATAAACCTTTTTTTCTCAAATATTCAACGAATTCTTTTAAAAATATGCTCACCTGTGCTCTGAAGGTAATGATCCGTTTTTCAAATCCCAGACATGAATATCACCATTCTGAGTTCCACAAGCAATAAACTAAAATATAATGGTTAAATATTTTTTCATTAATTGCACTTTCTTTTCAATCATCTTTATTAAAACACCTGCAATAGCCTAAAAAAGCAAGAAAAAATTTTTAAAATTCAAATACGAGGAAAAATTATATGAGTGATCTAACAGTAAAAAACTTACTCTCCCCTTTGGATCAATTTCAAACTTGATAAACCACATATTCGAATTTGGTAATATTAAACGACAAAACTGAAAAACACCATTCTCTGTTTTTACTTTATTGCCTTGCCCGTATAATTTATCATGTAAGTCACCAAATTTCCAAAGAATTATTTCATCTTCAGTTGACTGAAAATTTTAAAATTGTATAGTAAGATGAAAAATCCGAAAATGAAGTTTTTGCAAACTAGAAAATACGAGAAACATATGAGCTTTGTAAAGAAAGGCGAAAAAAATTGTGAATCACAGAAAAGTATAGGAAATACCTTCGAAAAAATTAGCTGATGAAATATCCGTACACAATCCACGTAATTCGTATGAATATCGCGAGTGCTACATCGAGGATAATGGATTTCAGCCGGATTATCTACCAACTAAAATGAAAAAAATAAAGAAAAGAGAATTTATACCCCAATATGAATGCCAAATTTAGAATAAAAAAACTTTTAGGAAAAAATATGTTCAAAATTCAAAACAAACTTTCAGATCACAGTTTGATTGCTCAATCATGCGATCAACACCACTACCTGGACCAATATGCCACAACTTTATGGTATGATCCATGCTTGATGAAGCAAGGAATTCGCACGATGCATCAAAATCCTGTAACAATGTTGACTCATTAATATAATGGAATCTTTGTCGTCAACATTATAATCTCAGCCTCATAAAGCCACTTATTTATTTCCAAAAAAGCTTTGAAAGATTATTTCGGTATAAGATAAAGATTATTAAAAATGCAAAAATTGCAAATTGCAAAAATTGAATAAAGAAATTTAATTTTTACATTTTTGAAATAAATTTCAAGCGAAGTAGATTAAAAGCTTTTTAGATATTTACTGGGATATATTATAATTTTCACAGTGATTTTCTGCTTTCCTTATAATTTTTTTATGATACTGGTAACTGATTAATTAATTAATCATTCTTAATCATTCTTAACATTTGTAAAGATAATAAAAGCAAAAACTAAAAAATTGAAGCGAACCACCGAAATAACTTGATCTAAATGCCCATCAACACCTCCAAGAATTGCCAAACATGCACTATTACGAATATTCCATATTCGAGCTGTAAAATCTTTGCTTGCTGATGCAATTATCATAGAATCATTTGGACATACTTGAACATCATTAACAGCATCACCATGTCCAACTAACGTCTGAAGAAAAAATAATTATAGTAGAGTAATTATAGTATAAATGCAAAATTTCTTGAAGTTTTTGGAAAAAAATGAAATAAAATTAGTAAAATGAAACGGTATAAAATATGAAAAGTTGGAAAAAGTAAATAAAATAAATAAATTCACTTACATTAATTACATTTTCTGCCGCAACGTCAATAACCCTAATAACACCTTGAGCGCCACCAGCAACAACAACATGGGCATCGCTATCTATATCATAGGCCCATGAGACAGTAAAAAAAGCCTCTTCTTTCTAAAATAGAAATTTGAAATTTGAATAGAAAAAAATTGAGATACTTTAAACAAATAATACAATATTTTACATATAAAAAATTCAAGTTGAAATGAATTCGCAAAAATAGGTTTAATATTTATTTGTAAAAGAATTCAAAAACGCTTATTGCCTTACCACTGGGTCTTGAAAACTTCTCAATAATTTAATGGATGGTGAACCTTTTGGCACACAATAAACTGATACCTAAACTGAATTTATATCAATTTTTTTCTTGCAGAACCAAAAATTTTGAAAAAAACAAAATAAAGAGATTTATTTCATAAGGAAAAATTAGAGAAATTTTTTGAAAACTTTTTAAAAAAAGTAGAAATTCTTCAAATTATTCAAATAATTAAATACTAGAGACTATAAAATTAAAAATCTAGTGAATCTTTAGAAATAAAAATTAATAAATACACGATTTTCGGCAACAGTAGCAAAATGTGGATTTTCAGTAACATAGGGGTTAAACGACACACCATAGATGGTTTTTCTGTGACATTCCTAAAGTTCTCATTTTTTTATTTACATATATATTTTTTATTATTTATTATTATTTATTATTTTTTATTATTTATTTATTTTTTATTTGCTTATTCTATTATTATTCTTTTAATCTGCAAAAACGGAATTTAATAATTTATTATAATAATTTAATAATTTAATTTAATCTAATCGTATTTAATTGATAATTTAATTTAATCGCTGTTTTTTTAATTAACAAAAGCAGATTTTAATAATTTATTGTTAAAATTTTTTTCTTGAATACTAATGAAATCAAAAAGAAAAAAACGAAAATTTAGAGAAGTAATTTAAAATAAATGATAAAAAATAAAAGAAAAAAAGTTGAAAAAATGTGAAAACTTACGAAAACAGTAGACAAATATTTGAATGATAATTTAGTGCTATTTATTGCTTTATGACCACTCATTCTGAAGACACCGCTGATAATTAAATCCTATGATAATTACGAAACGAAAAAACAGCTGACGTCGGAAACATTTTCTGAAACTTTAGGTAAAATAAAAAGGCGAACACAGCGAACCGAATGTGCTTTGAGACATGTATTTTTTAACTTAATGCTATTGCTTACTATATGAAAAATGGAAGTTTTTACTGATTCATATGAAATATATAATAAGGTTTGAACGACACAGAATTGTACACCTGAACACCTCTCACCTCTACATATCCGCTTTCTGTACGATCGCATATCATCACTCATTACATGATTAATATAATCTGATGGATTTCGAAATTTATCGTAGTCATGTTTTCGTTTAGGGATTTTTAAATGCAAAATGCAAATGTTGAAGCTCTATATTAATAGATTAAAAAAAGTACATATGTAATTTTTTAATCAAATATATTTTTGTTTTTTTAAATGAAAATTCATTGAATAGTTTTTCATTGATAGATCGTTGATAAAAACTTCGGCAAATACTAATTCTTCATTTGCTTTCACGAGGATCCTCCGATTTGGCTGGCTTTACTAACAGTTGAAATTCATTTATGGATTTAAGGATATGGACAGATTTCGAGCAATTCAATAAATGAAAGTTTAATTAATGAATTTAGTCGCTTTTAATCGCTTTGAACGGTTGTAAACCATGAAATTTTGGAAATTTTAGGAAATTTCTAGAAATGATAAATGATAAAGCACCTTGCACCTCCAAAAGGATCAAATTTGTTTATCACCATTTCCCACCATTCCTATTTAATCGGTTAGCCTTCCTTTCTCTTGAGCCTTATTTCTTTGTGTGTTTTTCCTAATATTTCTACTTTGCTATCGCGCAAAACTGGATTGGTATTTTCAGGATTTCGGCTTGCCCGAACGTTGTTTCCGTCTATATGGCTTGACTTCAGAGATTAGAGCGATTTCAGCAAGTCTCCTGGAATATCATTTTGGATTTGTGAATAGAAATGCAGACGCGTCTCGAGTTAGCCGAGTTTTTTTCTACGGGGGCATTCTTTAATCAGATCGGATACACGAACTGAAACTTTGCGATAATTTATATTATACGCTACTAGTCATTCCGCAATCCACTTGCAAGCCATTGTTATACAATATGAAAATAGAGATTTATTCTTGCAATTTTTTTAATTTATATTAAATATTAAATATATTCGCTAAAGAAATTCCTTTAGAAATCCTTGAATCCTGAAATTCTATTCATTTTCCACTGCTTTTACTCATATATAATACAAGTAATGAAATAGAACAAAACATTGAAAAATAAAAAAAATTTATTATTTATTTATTATTTTGATGAAAAAGAGTTTTCTCAAAAAGAATAGGGATATTTTTCGCGAATTGGAATTCGGTTGCATGGATCTAAAGCAGAAATTAATTGAGGTAACCAAAGTAAAGCATGTGTTAAGCCAATAATATTAACCAATACAACAGTTTGAAAAAAAACGCGGACTAAATAAGCGGGGATTAGTGGTAAACTAATCATTGCAAATAGCGTTGAGCCACCTGCTTGCAAGACTGGCCAACCGATCACCATAAGAGATTCTTTTAACTGAAATTCGAAATGAAACTAAAGTTTGCATTATTTCATGCAAATCCAGTATTAACATATTACTGAATTTTCGGTAATAGGAATAGTTTTAACCTTATCTTCTGCTGTATCCTTCGTAGATCTATGATAACGATAACAAATATGAACAGAAAAATCAACAGCGAGGCCTATTGCCATAATTATGCATCCCATAGAAACTGAATCTAAATCACTTCCCCAAAGCGATAAACCACCACAAACTCCCATTGATATCGATAATAGACTCCAGGTCATAAAGAATGCTGATTGCTAAAAAATGGCATTTGATTGGTCAGTTGACATACTTATGTCTAATTTATTCGAATTTATCCGACGATTCAACCAAAAGGAACCACTTGTCAATAAAGTACCACAAGCATTTAGTTCTATCTTAAACCCCCTTATTGAAAGATACTTTATTCGGAAGAAAGAATATCGATATTAATGCCATCACAGCGATTGCTGAGCCAATTGATTGCATCGAAGACGGTGCTATACTTTTTCGTTGATCGATTAAAAATGGTGAAAAAATTCCAGCAATAAACATATCCAAATCTGGATAATTCAATAAAATTTCTCTCCAATAATATAATTGACTCTAAAGAATTTCTTATTACAAATTTGGAAATCAACTTAAATATATATTTTATATGATAATAACTTATGTATATATATGTATATATATATAAATACAAATACAAAAAAATATATAAAAATATATGTTAATATATTAATATATTAATATATGATATGTTATTAAAATAAATTAATAAAAAATGGATATTTAAATATTAAAATATAAATGTTTCATATATATATATGTATTTTATATTTTAATATTTATAAATGTTTCATATATATATATATATATTGTGAATTACAATAATTACAATTTACAATAATTACAATTTTTACAATTCTGTAAGAATGTTTTAACGAGAATGGACAGTTGAAAACAATAAACGAACTTGTCGTTTGTCCCATGAATCGAGTCCATAAAAACTTGTTCGAAATGTAAATGCAGCAATGCATGGTTCGCCATTTGTTACATTTTCAAGAATTTTCACTTGAGCTGAAAGAAAATTCTTGAGAAATTTCAATTTTTTTAGCACCGCTCACCAGTAATCACCAGTAATTTGGGTGACATCACCATTGGTTATGTCAAGGATGAGACGTATTTCAAGTAATATTTTATATTTATCTAATTTATATTTCTTTTACAAATCGGTGCTATTAATAAATATTTTAATAAAATTAAATAAAATAAAAATAATAGGGCCATCAACGAGAATCACTAACATCTATATTGTTGATAGTCTAATTGTAAAAAGAAAGCGTTAAGATAAGATTTATCGTAAAAATCGGTTTTATAATCAACATTTGGAAAATCGTTCAAATAGCTTTGATATTCCCACATCCAGAAATTTGTAGAAACTCGACCGATACTATAATTCGTATGTTCTAAGCGATAGATCAAATCGTTAAGACGAGCTCTCTCTTCATCTTTTCGTAGATCGGGTGGTTTCATTACATGAAAAACAGGCATCACGTTATCTGCCCAAATATATTTATCTGTAAATTTTTATCAAAAAAAGAAAAATTTTTTTTGAATAAATTTTTAATAAAATGATTAAGCTAATCTAAAATTAGCAAAAAATTTCATGAGACATTTGGCTTCATTGACTTGACTATTATTAGAAATGAAATCGGCTGAGGAATGAAGACATGAAGAGATCCTGAAAACCACTTGCTGTAAAATTCTAATACTACTAAATCCAATATTTGATTGTCATTTAAAACAAACCTGCTAGGTGAACAAAGGTTTGCAGTTGTGAATTATCTCTAATATATTTTTTAGGACTTATATCAACAACAATCGTGCAACATCCATAAATTGCCAATACAACGTATGTTACAAATAGAATCCATGAGAGTACCATAACATCTTTTCTCAAAATAAATGGAGCATAGGATTCACCAAAAAATTTGTGCATAAATGATTCTGCAAGAAAAAATTATCACAAATAAAAAAAAAATTGGTTCATTGGTTCAATCTCATTGGTTTATACCTGTGATTTGCTCATTTTTCCTCATTTCTATCGCCTTTTCAGATGCGGTTGATTTATAACAACACGATAATAGGCCACCGCTTGATTCCTTTCGTCCACTATAGACCATTATTGAAGCGTAAAACGTTATTTGATATAAATAATCGAAAAGAACGCCAAACGCTGTGAGAATACAAAAATCCGATACAGCTGGAGTCGAACAAAGAAAATAGCCTAAGGCTGAAAAAAATTTTATCAAAAAATGAAATTGAGGAGATTTTATTTCTTAAAAAATAATATGTCTTAAGTCTGTAAAGCAAATAATTTTAAAATAATTTTAAGCTTTCTCTGGCAAGCAGTGAAAATGTTGCAGGCCAAAACTGATTACCGAAGCATCCAAAATTAGTCATTGATGTCGCTGTAATAGATGCACCTGCATCGCTCATCGTTACAGCCATTCGTTTTTCAACCGACCAACGACGATCAGTAGTTCGCCAAGCTCCAAGCATCAAAAAAGCGTCGTCTACTCCTTTAAAAAAACCTGTCAATCGACACCAAAAAAATCTTTCATAATTAAGGACGTAAATAAAAAATAATAGTAATCATTCTATAATATTTTGGTAGTAGAAAATTCGCCACTAATAAATAAAAGCATTGGTGAATTCTTAGTTAGCATCAATGGGCATTCAGCACCAGCGGATCACAGACATTTTCATAAACTTGCATTCAGTTTTTAATTTTATTTATTTCCCCATGGTTTTTCATTTGGTTTTTTTTTCCAATTTTGTAATTCTAAAATGTATTTTCTTAAAATACATTTTCGATATGAATATTAAAAATACGTGGAAAAACCTTCAATAACCTGTATTTATTCAAATGAAATGAAAAATTATAAGCTCACCAACTGCAAGGATGAGGAACGGCATTGTGCTTGAGACAGGATTGAATTCCAAGCCACAAAGAAATAATAATCCAAAGGTTGTGATAAGTGATAAGATAACAGAAATTACAGCCAAATAAGCTTCCAAAGGTTTAGACCTAAAAATATTAATAAGAGGTAGTAAATTGCGGTAAATTTAATAATTTTTTTTTTTAAGTCGCTATTGGTGCATTAGAATTATTATTTTGTAATTTTTCATTTTATTTATTTTTTAAATTTTAATGAATAAAAATTTTACTTTGTTTTATCAGTCGAATAATTCGATAATATAACGAAAAGCATAAGTTGTATAGAAACTGGAATCGCAAAAGGAACGGCATTCTCAATTATGAGACGCATTTCATCGTCCATCGCATTTTCACTAATAAAAAATAAAATTCTAATTCTAATTCTAATATTTATTAACATTAAATTTTTATTCATAGGTTAGGTTAGGATAACCGAGTAATATTTGACTTCGAGCAACATGAATTCGACTCCTTCATCGTGAGAAAAAAATAAAATCCTAAGGACGCAATCTATATTCTTGGCAAATGATTTTTATATTAGCCAAATTAGAATGTAAAAAAATTAAAAATTTTTATTAAAATTATTAAAATTAAATTTTTACTTCTGTTAAAAATTTTTAGAATTTTGTAAAAAAAGGATAAATACTTATGAGGAATAAAATTAATTGCACATTCCATAGATTTCTTTTTCCAAAATTCATCCATCGCATTTCGAAATTCAGTTAAAGCTTTTTCGCGTTCAGGTGTACTAATAAAATTAATTTTCCAATGAACAGTTAACACACGTGCGCCAACAATTTCATGCTTATCACCGGTCACATTCACTCCATAGACAACCTTTAATGAATTTTTCTAATAATTTTTGCAAAATTATAATTTCAATCAAAAAAATAAAAATTAAAAATTATTAAAAAATTATTGATTAAAGATTCTAATTTTATAATTTATAATTTAATAATAATTTTTTATAATTTTTTAATTTAATTTTTCTAATTTTTTATAAATTTTTTCTATAATTTCGCACTTTTTCGATAAAATTATTTTATTAAAACAAACATTTCCAATATCTTTTGGTCTATTAAAAAGATACATAACAGGATAAGAAAGTTGTAAATTCGGATTATTCATTGCTGTCTTGTCACGGAATAAAACTTCCGCATGCTTCAGCCATATGTTCAGCTCGTTACTGCATTTCTATAAATATTCATTTCCTCCTTTATAATAAGTTTAAGCATAAAATAGAACGTATTTTGGCATTTAAATAAATTGAACCTGTGGTACTTCCGGCAGTCTAGATAATATACCATTGGACTATTGCATAAAAAAAAATTCTTTTTACAATCAATAAAAAATTCGCAAATTTAAATTTTAGTCAATTTTATTTTTCTATTCATTTATTGAATTTAATTAGGGCACTAAATTAAAATATGGAGAGAATTTAATTGAACGGTCATATTAAATTTATAGTTGAGTAAGAAAATCGAAAATACTCCATAGATGTCTTTCTCGCAGAATTCATCGAAATGATAGGTTTTGCCATTGTAATGAGCGGTTATATTCAATAGTTCATTCGTATATCGATATAATTTTTTTAAAATCTCTGGTTTTAGAAGATTTTCATAATTTTTATGTACAACATAAAACCGCAAAATATCAAAATGAATAAAATCTGCAATTTTTTTCAGTAAAAATGAAAAAAAATAATGGAAATAATAAAAAAAACTACGAGATAGTCGAGATAAATATGCTAGAAAGCTGCTTAGAGACGTGATAAACATAAGTCAATGTGAGTCGCTAGTATCACCAGGATTTTTATACGAGCTAACTCATGCAGGGAGTAGAATCTTAGCTTTGAAGCTCAGAATTAACGACCGCCACTGAACTAATTCTAATACCTCATTCAAAATTACCTAAAAATATGAAATAAAGCTATTAGTTTTTTAATAATCTTTGATTGCATTCATGTTACAACTGATAATATTCAATTTTAATTATTATATTACAATAACAAATCATTAGGCTTAGTGGTAACTGAACCAAAAAATTAAGTCATCACCTGTGCTCCTTTTCGTCAATTTTTTCGATTCATTTCCATTTGATAGATCACCCTGTGGCATCGATCGAAATTCTTGCTGCCTAAAATCAAATATCATTCACTGTTATAGGCGATATTGTGTTAAAAGATAGTATTACAATATGCTATAACTAATATTCATTAAAGTTCCAAGATTGCTGTAGATCTCTCTTTGACCTGGCAATATATTTATAGAATCACAGTGAAATGTTTCAACAAAAAAATAATTTTTTTTCCTCGCCCTATCGGTAGTTATATTGCTGATATGATGCTGACTTGCTATATTACTGCTTAATGATAGAGGAATAAGAATCTATCTTATTTCAACCTAAGGAACATTTCGTTACTAACCGAAAAAGTCGTGGAGTTTCAAACCTCACATAAATGAAACTAAAAACAACATTGCCCGACCAGATTAGGCCATTAGTTAGCCGATGTTGTTGATCTAAATCAAGCATTGCGTCAAAAAACCCCTTAAGGCTTGCGCTAGTTATTCATTTTAATGGTCCAGTCCAGAGCACTGTTGAATATTAGAAAAGACTATTAGCCAATGAAAAATCCAAAAAAACCTTTCATGTTCGGTTCGAACAGGTGCATCGAGTGGAACGAAAAGTTTATATAAATCAAGATTGATTTTAAGGGTGGGAATTCCAATTATGCTTATTCCGCTAACTATTAATGAACCAATAAGAAAATATGCCGGATAGCGTGCAACCATTTTTCCATATTCGTAAAAAATTCTCGTGAAAATTTCTTCAAACGCTCGCCCATAATTATTTAACCTTTTATTTACCATAAATTTAATGAAACTAAAAATAATTTTTTAATTAATAATTCATTAAAGAAAAGCAAAAAAATCTAACGCATTGAGTTTAAAATAAAAATTGGTACCAAAGATTTTCAATTATGTGAAGCATTTTAGAAATAAATTTCTTGAAAATATTTTCTCCGATAAATAAATTGAAATCCTAATTAAACCAATAATTTAAAAGAGTTTTAGGCGATATAGAAATAAACGAAAAATTATTGTGGCAGGACGGTGGCAAAATAATAAAAGCGACTAGTATTTGGTTCAACTCACTGGTTTAATAATGCCAGAAAATTTTGCCATTAAGTCTCTGGGCATTGATTCGACTCTTCTTATTCATCATTTCTGATTAGGGTTCGCTTCAAATCATTCTTTCATCAATAATAATGAAAGAAATACGAATTAGCCGAGATAAATATGCCAGGGAACCGCTTGAAGATAGAAATAAAGGTGAGTCGCTAGTATCTTCCGGATTCTTGGATATGTTTATTCCTGCAGGGAATAGAATTTCAGAATCGCTCCGAATTGACCCACTGAGCTAATTTTAACACCCGAAGAACCATTTGGCAAAATACATTTCGCTAGCACTGCTTGGATTTTTGAGAGATTTATTCCTACTGAAGACGGAACTCTGGCAAAGTGCTCCCAATCCATGAGCCATTCTACTCTCTAAATATTCCTATCACTAAAACTAGAATGTGAGCAATGCTTGAAACCGATCTGCACTTCTCAAGCAAATCTCGAAAAAAGTCTCATCTTATTAAGAGTTCAACCTAAACAAAAATAATATTAGCAGAAAACAAAAAGCAATTAATTTTTTGCAGAATTAATTTAATTTAATTATTTTAAAATTAATTCCCTTAAGAGATATTTTATATTTTCGATGAAAGAATAAAATATTCAAATTCCTTGGAAAATATTAAAAGAAATGCAAATAGATTATTTTCCAGGATTATTTATGAAATAAAATTCAATCAAAATATAAGAAGATTTTAGAAATTTTAGTTGGAATTTTAAGAATAGAATATTCGAAAAATCTAAAAATAATTTTAAAGAGCTTATCGCCTAACTATTTTATATAATTTACATAATTTAAATTTTTAAGAAAAATTAAAATCATCCATTAAATTAATTCATCTACTTGATTTGTGGTACTAATAATGCTAATAATAATACTAATAATTGCTGTAAGACTACTTCTCTCTAGGATCGTATCTTAAAATACCCACAGTGCTTGGTGACATAGAGCATTCACCATTACAAATATGTCAGGCAATAGAAGTACAGGTGAATCGCCAGCATCACCTGGATTTTTGAACAGGTTTTCCCATCGGGAGCAGAATCTCAACATCGAATTGAGCAAACAACTCACAATTCATTCTGCTCTCCTCTAATTTTCCCCATTAGGCGACACTGCTACAGAATGAAGAGTGGTGTGTCGGCAAATTCGAAAACAAGCCTCGATTCTCGGTGCCAACCTATCTTTCTTCTTCCCACTGACCGAAGCGTCAAGTCTTAAGGTACCCATAATAGTTGGTGACAAAACTGCAATATGCTCAGCAACAAACACTTTTAACAATCAGCAGATGTCGTAAATTTAGGATTGATTTCTCGAAAAAATGAAAAATTCCATTCCTAAAAAATGAAAATCCTAGAAAACGAAGAAATCGTCGGTTGAATAACTGGTAAATCAGAAAAAAAAAGAGCTGAATTCCAGCCGAGCAAATTTCCGAACCCCGAGAACAATTCCGTTTGAAAGGCAAATACCCAAATGAGGTCAAACGCCGGTCATACGTTGAATTTGAAAAAGAGAATATTAAATGTTTCTTTCATATTTAATCAATTAATTTCATGGAAACATTTTATCGTAACAAATTTCACCACAGTTTCATCGAAATCAATTTTCAATTTACAGTTCATAAATTTATTCATAAAGATTTCAAAATTTTAATAAAAAATTAAATTCATTTCTAATTGTTCTTTTTCTTATGAAAATGCAAATTTCGCCCAAAATATAGGGTAATAAATAAATATTATGGGAGTGAAGAGAGAGAGAAAGGGGGAGGGAGGATAGGATAGCCGAATGGATAATGGATAATGGAGAAAGGAAGGCACTGACTTCTATTTTGAGTAGAACTAAAGATATCATTAAAAATGTAAAAATGTACGAATGATGCCGACGATTGCCTTATCCATCAAATAATTAACTTTCTTATCATAACGAACATCTAGCAGAGATTCGATTGCCACAAGACCGTTGTCTTTTTTTCATTTATTACTTATTTTAATTTTACTAAAATTGCTATTATTACTATTTTTACTATTATTTAAGTTAGTTAATTCTTAAAAATTTGTTCAAATAATTATGCGATAAGTTAGTTGTGGTAAATGGTTGCAGTACCGGCATATTTAATAGAACCAATTAAATAGACTAATTAAATAAAAAGTGGTTATCAGTCAATACTTCTCGTTGGCCTTATTCCATTGGTTAGCAGTGAATATTCCTAGTACCATGTTGATTTGTTAAATGATAGACTTAAAAATTTTTCAAAAATTAGTCGGACTCTTGAAGTTGAAGGACGAAATCTTCGCATTTGGTTAAATTTTATTTATTATTCACCATATTTTATTACTTACTTAATAATTATTACTATTGTTATTAATTGTGAATATTATTAATGTTAATTGTTATTATTAGTTGCTGTTGATTATTATTTAATAAATTATTTTTGCTATTAATTAATTTATGATTTTGATCATTATTTGATAATTTATTATGAATACTATTCAATTATTTATGGCAAAAAAAAGTCTAAAAAATCTTTTAAGAGATTCTCGATAATTGGTAATATATTTCATTTTTCCTTTATAATGCAAGTGCAGAAAAAGAAAAACCAGATAAATTCTTTCTGATAAATGATAAATGATAAAAATGCTCCAATTTTTTCTTTTGTGGATGATATTTTCTTCTAACAGCTTTCACCATTGATTAGGTTGGCTCCAGCTACAAGGGTAAAACGCTTCCAAGTTTCATAATGTGGATAATATATGGAGAAAATTGAAAATTGTTCACAAAATGCCAAGTTGCTTTACACAGCCATGTGTTTTTCCTTTATTCATAAATTTTTTCCTTACTTTTTGACCAAACCAGATAGGCCAGGACGTAGCTGTGTCGACCAAATTTTCACGCTGAGAAAAGTACTGGAATACTGCTTCAAGTGCCGACAATTCATATTACGTGCTTCATTGACTTTTTCGGCTCTTCTATGATTCGACGAACAGGACAGAAATTGATCAGATTCAGACTTATCGAAACATTTTATTGTATGACAACATAGATTTGTGTCAAGGAAGATTTTCCTACATTTTTCATCCATGCGACAGACTGGGTTATGGAGTGATAAAAAAACTGATTAGTCAAGAGCATGGAATACAAATCTTGAATATCCTTGATTGTGATATCTTTTTCGCTGATGAATGCGAAGAATACTGCAAAGGATGCCAAAGTACCAGCGAAAATTGCTTTTCATTGATCATAGATACGAAAAATTCTTTTAGTATATCAGATGCTGATAAGATTTCAGTTTAAGCGTAAAAATTTAATTCTAGGCCTTGCTTATGATGAACTTTATTAATTTTACTAAAATTAGAAGGCGATAAGCCAAAAAATAGGAACAACGCTTTATTATTTGTTATTTATATATTATTTATTACTATTATTATTAGTTATTAATAGAATAGTAATTTATAGAATATCGTTCGATATCGATCTTGTTATATGGCTGCGAAACATGAGAATAGAAGATATTAGCCTTAAGAAGCTATTAGCCTCTGACCACTCATGTCTAAGGTACATTCTACGGATCCGCCGAGCAGTCACATAAAATCACACATGATTGTATCCACCTTCGCTCAAATACCACCTGCATTAATAAAGTTATCACAGAGCGTCGCCTTCGCTGATTAGGACACATTCTCAGTCCACCACAGGAGTTGATGCATATTTCGTCATTTCCTAAATCCTGCGATGATTGGCGTTAAAAGCGAAGAGGACCAGTCAAGACCTGGACTGATAAAATCAGAAATGATATGGATATAAACGATGGAAAAAGGAATGGCTTCTATTACTACTAGCGATGGCGTAGGACCGGGCGGCTTGGAGACATCTTGCTCTTGTAACCAGCGGAGCCAGCCTAACCAGTAATGGTTAAAAGAAGAAGAATATAGAATATAGAACCGTCGCTTTGGACTAAATTCACCAAATTTCGAGAAGGCTAGTGAAAATTAATGAAAAAAACTCGTCGGACTCGAAAAAACTCTTCATTCTTAAAACTCATTCTTAGTATTTTCAATGATCCTATTTCATTACATATTGTAATCAATTATTAATAAGCCAATCGAAAAAAAATGAGAAAACCTTCGAGGAAAGGTGAATAATCCAGAAAATTGGTCTAATTGTTTTTTTGCGATTCCAAGAAATAATTTTTCTTTTTTTTATGGGCATTTTATTAGCAATTCTATTGGTAAAATAAGTTGTTCAAATGGCTTAATTTTATTTGATAATTCAAATTGCAGATATTTTTTAATTTCGGTCATAAAAATCTTAGACTACAGAGCATTCACCGAAATTTAAAAATTTCTACAAGAAATTTCAGCGATAAATATCTAAAATTTAAAAACTAAAACTAAACACTGTTATTTAAAAACTAAAACACTATTATTCATTGACACTTGAATATTTTCATATTTAGGAATATGATGGCTCGAATGGTACTTTGATTCGATTAAGTTTGAGTTACTAGGTACATTCGATATTTTTGCGACAGCAAAAATAGCATAGATTGAAATCCATGTGACTTATGTGTACTTCTATGACTTTATGTGACCTTTATGATCTTATCGTAGTAGCCAATAGATTGAATTAAATAGGATGACCACGCTTTAGAAGCTGATAAAAAGGATAAACAGGACGAAAGAAGTTGATAAAAACGGTAGACCAAGCGAAGGAAGGTGATAAAAACAGCAGACCAGGCGAAGGAAGGTGATAAAAAAACGATGAACGATTTCAACAAAAAGAAAAATATTTTAATAAAAATATTTTAATGTTTTGTTCATACTATTTTTAATAAATATTATTAAATATTTTACATAATTTTGTATGATAAATATTTTATAAATATTAAAAATTATTTCATTAATAGCGAAACAAATTCATTTAATTCAAAATCATTTCTTCGTTAATGTTTTAAAAATCGCTTAAATCATTTAAAGAGTTTCATATAGAAATTTTCTGAACGAAAATGCAAAACGAATAAAACTTTCAATTTTATTTCTTAGAAAGCGATTTTATTAAAATAATAAAAAGCCATTTTCTTTTGTTTATAATTTAGAATATTATTTTTGCATAAAAAATTTATTAATTTTAAAATTTATTAATTTACCATAAAAATTATTAAATTATACATTTGTTATACATATGCAATTTTAAAATAAATTTATTAAATTAAAAATTATGTATAAGATTATATATAAACAATTATAAAATATAAAATTATACATAGAGTGATAAAGTGATAAGATCTGATAATTACTTGAATTGCCGCATTTTTAAGACGATTTTCGTTTTAAATCTGAATGATAGATACACTTTTCGCTTTTCGCTCATTTTAAAAAATTTGGTCTTGCAACGATTGTTTATTTGCTTACTCTTACTCTTACTCTTTGCTTACTCTTGATAGTTGTTCCTTGTACTATTTAGAGTTCCACTTTGGTGGTCATGGCATGGTTCTCTTATCATTGAGTAAATTAGTTGTTATTTCGATAAAGATTGAGGATCTTACTTAGTCCTTCCTTTTGGTGTTATCATTGAAACTGGCTGAAGTTCCACACTTCTCTATTCTAAGTGGCTCTCTGATGAAGAAAAAAATTGATTGCTAATGGCTCCTAGCACTCGTTGAATCAGAAATATAAGGTGCTACTAGAAAAGTTTGGTTTTAGTCTTTTGCGCGTTAATTTATGGATTTTTGACTTCGGGAAGAATGTTTTGTTTTTTCGCTTTAAAAAGATTAAAAGATTTTCTTGCATTGTGTTTAGAATGAAATCAGAGTTTTTTTTATCCAATCTAGTTTTTTTTGAAATTTTAGTAAAAATTTGATTTCTTTACAAGTTGGATTTTTTAATTTAATTTTAAGCGACAAATCTTTTGTTTGCAAACTCTTATCGATTGTTTTTTTCGTTCCATTTTCTCGCTTATTTCGAAATTTCATAAAATATTTTTTTTTAAAAAAATCAAATCAATTGAGAAAATGGAACGAAAATTATATTCTTCAAGAATTAAGAAAAATAGAATCGAAAGCTTCTTTTTTTGGTTATATGTTTGCTGCCAATTTGTTAACTGCGCTTAATTGACTGGCACGCAATTGTTGCGTTTAAAAAGATTTTATTTTCGCGAAATAATTTTTTTTTTATTTTATAGGAAATAAACTAAAAATTTACAAAACTGCTTGTATATTTCAAAGTTGATCGATCTTTTTTTTTAAATATTGACTGCATTCAATAAACGCTATCAACTGGGTATGCACACAGTGGAAAATATCACTGCAGTGAAGTTTCTTTTTTTTTTTTCATCGGCTTTTTCTAAGATATTTTATTTCATATATGAACTTTACCGAAAATTTACCGAAATTGGCGATTCTGAACAAAAATTTGACTCTGAATTTTCCTCAGTGAGGAGATGTAAGCTATTTATTAAGCTTATTATTATGAACTATATAACCATATTCCTCGCGTTATTAATTTTTTCATTTTATAAATTTTTATCAAATTCGAAGAAATTTTACTTATCTTGAATTTTGTTTCCTTTTTATTGTAGTAATTTTAAAAATTAAAAGCAATTTATTTTTCATTTTTGTCGTTCTTTT